CTCGATTTTTCCTTTCAGTTCTTCGATAGTTTAATTTTTCAAGTTTTAAAATTTTTCAAGTGTTTCGATTTCTTAATCTCTTGATTTTTCGACTTCCTGGTTTTAGATTTTCTGTTTTTCAATTGTCATTTTGTTAATTTTTCAAATGTGACATTTATAAACTCTCAATTTTTCGATTTTTCAATTAATCGATGTTTTGATTTTCCCATTTTTTGACCTTCGAGTGTTCCGATTTTCTTGTTCTTTAATTCTTTAATTTTTTGATTTTTCAGTTTTTCGATATTTCAGTTTTGGGATTTTTCAATATTTCTGTTCTTCAACTTTTCCATTTTTGACTTTTGGATTTTTGGATGTGTCGACTTTTTACTTTTTCGATTTTTAAATTTTAGATTTCTCAATTTTTTGGTATTTTAATTTTTCAATGTTTAAAATTTTTGATTTTTCGATTTCTCGATTTTTCATTTCAGCTTTGCCATATTACAATTTTTCAAATGTTTCGATTTCTTAATCTTTTGATTTTTCGACTTCCCGGTTCTAGATTTTGTTTTTCAATTGTCGTTTTTTCAATTTTTCGATTTTTCAAATTTAGATTTTTCAGTTTTTTGATATTTTAAATTTTCAATATTTAAAATTTTAGATTTCTTGTTTTCTCGATTTTTCATTTCAGTTCTTCGATAGTTTAATTTTTCAAGTTTTCGAATTTTTCAAGTGTTTCGACTTCTTAATCTTTTGATTTTTCGACTTCCTGGTTTTAGATGTTCTGTTTTTCAATTGTCATTTTGTTAATTTTTCAAATTTGACTTTAATAAACTCTCAATTTTTCGATTTTTCAATTAATCGATGTTTTGATTTTCCCATTTTTTGACCTTCGAGTGTTCCGATTTTCTTGTTCTTTAATACTTTAATTTTTTGATTTTTCAGTTTTTCGATATTTCAGATTTGGGAATTTTCAATATTTCTGTTCTTCGACTTTTCCATTTTTAACTTCTGGATTTTTGGATGTGTCTACTTTTTACTTTTTCGATTTTTCAATTTTAGATTTCTCAATTTTTTGGCATTTTAATTTTTCAATATTTAAATTTTTTGATTTTTCGATTTCTCGATTTTTCATTTCAGCTTTGCCATATTTCAATTTTTCAAATGTTTCGATTTCTTAATCTTTTGATTTTTCGACTTCCCGGTTCTAGATTTTGTTTTTCAATTGTCGTTTTTTCAATTTTTCGATTTTTCAAATTTAGATTTTTCAGTTTTTTGATATTTTAAATTTTCAATATTTAAAATTTTAGATTTCTTGTTTTTTCGATTTTTCATTTCAGTTCTTCGATAGTTTAATTTTTCAAGTTTTCGAGTTTTTCAAGTGTTTCGATTTCTTAATCTTTTGATTTTTCGACTTCCTGGTTTTAGATTTTCTGTTTTTCAATTGTCATTTTGTTAATTTTTCAAATTTGACTTTTATAAACTCTCAATTTTTCGATTTTTCAATTAATCGATGTTTTGATTTTCCCATTTCTTGACCTTCGAGTGTTCCGATTTTCTTGTTCTTCAATTCTTAAATTTTTTGATTTTTCAGGTTTTTGATTTTTCAATTTTTCGATTTTCTAAGGTTTCTATTTTTCGACTTCACTTTTTTACTTTTTCGATTTTTCAATTTTTAAATTTTTAAATTTTAGATTTTTCAATCTTTCGATATTTTAATTTTTCATATTTCTTATTCTTTCGATTTTTCGACTTCCAGGTTTTAGATTTTCTGTTTTTCGATTTTTCGATTTGTTAATTTTTCATTCCCGATTTATCGAGATTTGATTGTTCAGGTTTTCGATTTATCAGTTTTTCAATTTTTTATTTTGGCCTATTTCGGTTTCTCAGTTTTTCCAGTTTTCCATTTTTTCGTTTTCTAATTTTTCCGCTTTTCCAATTTTTCAACTTTTAACTTTTTGTTTGTTGATTTCTGTATTTTTCGATTTTTCGACTTCATCACTTTTCGATTTCTCATTCTTTTGATTTTTCAATCTCTCAATTTTTCAATTTTTAGAATTTTTAAGTTTTTTGATTTCTCGATTTATCGAGATTTGGATTTTTCGATATTTTGCTTGTCAATTTCTCAATTTATAAATTGTTCGGTTTTTAACTTTTCGATTTTTCGATTTTGGCCTATTTCGGTTTCCCAATTGTTCGACTTTTCGACTCCACGATTTCTTGATCTTTTGATTTTTCGATTTCTCGGTTTTTCGATTTTCCAGTTTTTCGATGTTTCGATTTTTCAGTTATCCGATTTTTTAAATTTGGGAGTTTCGATTTCTCAATTTTTCGTTATTCGGTTTTTAAATTTTAGATTTTTGAATTTTACATTTTTTCGATTTTCTGATGTTTCATTTTTCGATTTTCAGTTTTTCGATGTTTCGATTTTTTAATGCTTCGGTTTTACGATTTTTTAGGGTTTCGTTTTTTCGATTAATCGATGTTTTGATTTTCCCATTTCTTGACCTTGGAGTGTTCCGATTTTCTTGTTCTTCAATTCTTTAATTTTTTTATTTTTCAGGTTTTTGATTTTTCAATTTTTCGATTTTCTAAGGTTTCTATTTTCCGACTTCACTTTTTTGATTTTTCGATTTTTCAGTTTTTAGATATTTCAGTTTTAGGATTTTTCAATATTTCAATTCTTCGGCTTTTCTATTTTTGACTTCCGGATTTTTTGATGTGTCTACCTTATTACTTTTTCGATTTTTGAATTTTTGAATTTTTAAATTTTAGATTTTTCAATTTTTCGATATTTTAATTTTTCAATATTTCTTAATCTTTCGATTTTTCGACTTCCTGGTTTTAGATGTTCTGTTTTTCAATTTTTCGATTTGTTAATTTTTCATTCCCGATTTATCGAGATTTGATTGTTTAGGTTTTCGATTTGTCAGTTTTTCAATTTTTTATTTTGGCCTATTTCGGTTTCTCAGTTTTTCCAGTTTTCCATTTTTTCGTTTTCTGATTTTTCCGCTTTTCCAATTTTTCAACTTTTAACCTTTTGTTTGTCGATTTTTCTATTTTTCGATTTTTCGACTTCATCGCTTTTCGATTTCTCGTTCTTTTGATGTTTCAATCTCTCAATTTTTCAATTTTTCGAATTTTTAAGTTTTTTGATTTCTCGATTTATCGAGATTTGGATTTTTCGATATTTTGATTGTCAATTTCTCAATTTATAAATTGTTCAGTTTTTAACTTTTCGATTTTTCGATTTTGGCCTATTTCGGTTTCTCAATTGTTTGACTTTTCGACCCCACGATTTTTTGATCTTTTGATTTTTCGATTTCTCGGTTTTTCGATTTTCCAGTTATCAGATTTTTTAAATTTTGGAGTTTCGATTTCTCGATTTTTCGTTATTCGGTTTTTAAATTTTAGATTTTTGAATTTTACATTTTTTCGATTTTCAGTTTTTCGATATTTTGATTTTTTAATGTTTGGGTTTTACGATTTTTTAGGGATTCGATTTTTCGATTAATCGATGTTTTGATTTTCCCATATTTTGATTTTCGAGTGTTCCGATTTTCTTGTTCTTCAATTCTTTAATTTTTTGAATTTTCAGATTTTTGATCTTTCAATGTTTCGATTTTCTAAGGTTTCTATTTTTCGACTTCACTTTTTTGATTTTTCGATTTTTCAGTTTTAGGATTTTTCAATATTTCAATTCTTCGGCTTTTCTATTTTTGACTTCCGGATTTTTCGATGTGTCTACCTTATTACTTTTTCGATTTTTCAATTTTTGAATTTTTAAATTTTAGATTTTTCAATCTTTTGATATTTTAATTTTTCAATATTTCTTAATCTTTCGATTTTTCGACTTCCTGGTTTTAGATATTCTGTCTTTCAATTTTTCGATTTGTTAATTTTTCATTCCCGATTTATCGAGATTTGATTGTTCAGGTTTTCGCTTTATCAGTTTTTCAATTTTTTATTTTGGCCTATTTCGGTTTCTCAGTTTTTCCAGTTTTCCATTTTTTCGTTTTCTGATTTTTCCGCTTTTCCAATTTTTCAACACTTAACTTTTTGTTTGTCGATTTCTCTATTTTTCGATTTTTCGACTTCATCAATGTTCGATTTGTCGTTCTTTTGATCTTTCAATCTTTCAATTTTTCAGTTTTTCGATTTTTTAAATTTGGGGGTTTCGATTTCTCGATTTTTTGTTATTCGGTTTTTAAATTTTAGATTTTTGAATTTTACATTTTTTCGATTTTCACTTCTTCGATATTTTTATTTTTCAATGTTTCGGTTTTACGATTTTTTAAGGTTTCGATTTTTCTATTATTAAATTTCTCGATTTTTCGAATTTTCGATTATTTTTATTTTTCTTTTTTTTTCTCACTGTTAATATCATACAAATATTGTCACTAAAAACATTTAAAAATTCATAGAAAATAGAATTCAAGATTCAAAATTAAATGTTAAACTGTTGTTTCCTAATTTTGATTTTTTTTTTTTTTAATCTGGACATTTCGGGTAAAATCTCAATTCGGATTCATAAACTATATGTGTAATACTATGTTATTTGATACAATTTAAAACCCATTTACCATGTACAATTTTGAAGTGACGTCATCACATTAGTGGTGGGGATGATTAACCAAATTTTGGTACATGATATACCTAATATAAATACAAAATTTGACAACAATCGGCCCAGTACTTTTGGAGATTATCTGTCTAATAAAAATCCGGGACGGCACACAGACGGACAGACAGACAGACGGAAACGGGGGTCATGATAGGTCGAGAAAATGCAAAAGTAGAGAGTCGGCCGACGGATATAACAAACAAATGTGTTAGTCTTGAAGTAGTCAATTCTTGGGGTATATCAGAGTGCATGCTCCTTCTGCTATAATTAAAGACCTCACTCCCATAAAATATGCTAATCAAGACTTACACGACCTCGGTAATCCTCTCCCGTTATTAGCCCCTTTTCCCCAGTGGTTGAAACGTGACCATATGCATTAACGCAACTGCTTATTTTTCAGGTTTTCGACGTCGCCTGCAATTACTGAAATGGGCAAAGGGGACAAACGAGGAAGTCAGCGCTCGGACAGTGGTATGGTACCTTATAAACTCTGCGAATATTTACTCCAAAAATTTGTTACTTGATCAAAATATGTATTGAAAGCTTCAACGTGGTAATTTTTTCCACAAAGAAGTATTATTATTATTGTTATTATTATTAATCGATCGAATCAAAATTCGCGGAAAGCGATTTTCCAGCGGCGGCTTGTCCTGCACCACCTAAATGCATTAAAATGACGTGCTATCGGGGATTACATCAACGGATTTCGGCTTTCAAATAACTAGAGTGGAGTTAAACTCGATTACGCGGAAGTACGTCATCGGACTACCCTTGCTCTATTCGACCCGCCTGGGCCGGCTTTGCCATGGTTACGTTCCGAGCGAATACCGGGTGTCCCAGCCACACTCTCATTACTTCAATTTTCCCGAAAATCGAGCACTAAATAAAGCCGATTCTCCGCCGGTTATTTGTGTCAGTGTGCGCCGGCAGTCGTAATTCTGTTAAATTACCCCAAATTACATTAAACCGGCGAGTCCTCAGACGCACTTAAGTGAAACAAATTCGGTCGGAATCGTTGCGGCACAGCTTCGACTCGCGATTTTGGCGGTTGCGTCATCGTCTGGCAGCGTTAATGTTGTTATCAAAAACCGCAGCGGTTTCTCCCTGGATCCGCGTTCGTTGACTTAAAAAATCGCGAGTGATTTTGTGTCGTTGGCAGTGTTGTAAATAATGTCAAAGCTCGAGTTTACGTAATTCGGCAAATGAATTAAACCTGCTCGCAAATTCATGTGCGACCGGAAATTCTTAGCTTGGCGGGGAATTTAAAACGTGATAGACGGAAATTAACCTATTACGGCGAGGTCCTGCGTCTCTAGTTTGAGGGAGGGGGAAGTGTCCCGGGGCGAAGCGCGATTATTACAAATGGACGGTAGTTGGGTGTGTTTATGATAGGAAATAAAATTAGAAGCGATCCTTGCAGAAATTACATTAAATTCCAAATTTAAACAAACACAGATCCTTAGAGAGCGGATTTATAAGCACAAAAAAATTAAGAATAAGCGCTTAAATAAGCACAACATTTTCAATAATAAAAAAGTTTTATTTTAAGCAAAAAAGCATTAAAAACATAATCATATTACAAATCAAAGAACACTTCTTAGAACTTTGGATAAAATATTATTTCAATAATCCTAGACTTTATATTTTACACACGTGTTTCAATTTTCTTTAAAACAATTTATGATTGTAATATGTTCCAAGTTGTCCACTGTAAAATTTTTTCGCCGATCATTTAAAATGTGTTTAAAATTGGAGAATGTGCGTTCAACATCCACACTCGTTGGCGCAAATTTGAATTTTACAACTAATGTTGAATCTAACTCCAAATTTTCCACCTTCTGGCCTTGTAAAACACGAGCAACGTCGGAAAGAACACCGAAACCTGCATTTTTATTTAACACTTCGTCAAGTTTTTGAGATACTCTAGTACCAATATCACCCCTTACTGCGTTTGCTTGTTGTTTAAATTCTTTCACTAAGTTTAGGGCATCTACCAACAAAATGTTGGGTTTTTCTAACTTTTCTATTACCTCACATACGAATTGATAATTGCTTCTTAGAAAAGCTAGATCTTGTTGCAAATCTTTGTTTTCCAAAATATTTATGCAATCTTTAATCGATTGAGAAGAATCTTCGCTAAACTCCGTAACTACTTCCTCTAATTCTTTGATCTATTTGTCATAATAAAATGTGGCCTGTAACCATGTTCCCCACCTCGTTATAATCGGCTCTGGGGGCAATGGTATGTTTGGAAATTTTTCCTTAAAATGTTGCACTCTTAGTGGGGCTTTAACAAAAATCTGTTTACCATTTGCCACTAATTTATTAACAGTAGGAATCTGTAAACGTATTCCTTCAGCCACTCTGTTTAAACCGTGGGCAATGCAAGTAGAGTGAATTAAATTGGGGTACAATATTTTTAGATTATTCCCTGCTTTCAACGAGCTGCATCCGAGATCATCAATAAAATTTTATTTTGTAAAAATAGTGACGTAAGACTGTCATTTACAAATCTGGTAATCGTATTGCCATTTGTTTTATCTAACATTTTCAAACTTACTACATACCCTCGACTAGGGAAATTTTCATTTAAGATTCCAACAATTAAACTTGCCACGTATCTTCCACAACTATCGGTTGTTTCATCGACAGCGAACCATGAATAATTACCTCCAATGCGATGTTTAATTTCGTTGTAAACTTGCTGAAACACTGGCCCTACATAATTTTTTCGGAGAGTACTTTCAACCGGAATATGTCGATTCCAGTGTTTTTCAAGGAATTCTTGAAGAGGGCCTTTCTCCAACTTTTTTAAAGGTGTATTGGACTGGATCATCATTTTACATAAATTGAAATTAAACTGAAACTGCTCATCTTTTGTGGAAGTAGATGCAACAGATTCATGTATGGTCTGCTGTTTAATTTTAAAAACTTCAAACATTTTTTTCCTTTCTACATGAAGAGCCGTTCTGACATGTTGCGTCACGTTATATTTTTTATCACTTTGAATCTAAAACAACGTACATATACGGGGTTAACAAAGGAAAATAGATAAAAAAAAATTAGTGGGCTTACGGTTTTCACACAAGCTCTGCAGAATATTTTGTTGTTTTCTAATTTTAATTCTGGAAAATCCCTTATCCACTCATCCGGCGTAGATTTTACTTTCGGCATTCTTTTAAAATATTAGTAGGTAATATTACGAAAAAGAACTCAACATGTAACAAGGGAGAAGCACGTATAACACTGTACTACGACAGATGCCATAGTCTGATGGTTGTGAAATAAACGGTTCATTTACTTAAAAGTTTCCATTAGAAAAATTTTAAGGTAGGTAATTGGGTACAATAATCCTTTTTTCTAGAAAATCTTCAACGGTCTTTCCGCAAAATGCCGAAAAAGAACATCTGGTTAAAAGCTTTAATTCATTATCAACGGAAGTAAGGATTTAAAGTCATAATATCTATGGAGTATTTTTCCAATCCTATAATAAAATTTTATTACCCAAACGACCGGAACCTATTCACAGAAAGGGTCTTGAGTAAGTGTACTTCAATAGTCAAGTCCAGGTAAAATGCATACGATACGATACGACCAACTAACAAGTATTTGTCATCCCGACAAGGCCGGCATTTGAACAAAATATGCATTAAAACTCATATTCGTCGAAAAACGCATTAAATAAACATATAAATTTTTAATATGCATAAAATTGAAAAAAAGCAAATATGCATAAAAAAAATGTGTCAAATGACTCCAAATTGTATCATAGTTACAGATATAAAAAAGTTTTGAAGTGCTTACATTTTTCACAAAAAGCATTAAACCTATAGAAATCCGCTCTCTACAGATCTTATTCCACGCTAGACGTCTTTACAGTTACGAAACAGGAAGCCTAACAACGTAACAACACATATTTTTCTCGATTTTTCTTCATTTTTGTTAATTATTACTTTTTATATAAAATTTTCCGATATTCGTTTCGTCGTTTGATTTTGTTTTAAATCTTAAATAAGTCAGTTAAATCGAGAAAAGAGTGGGCGGGACTGAGATTAGCTTTTACCTACAGTGTCTTATAAGATAGTATCAGTAGCCCCACCCATCCATCCCCTCTTTATTCTAGTGACTGCTCTTAATATTGTTCAGTATTATCTTAACAAATTCTAGCCCCGCCCACCCGCCCTCTATTTTCTTACAGGGTGTCGTGTGCCAAAATTAGTCTTGTCTTACCAAATACTAAGCCCACCCACCCGCCCTCTATATTCTTGGAGTGTAAGTCATTTGCCAAAATCAGTCCCATCGTAGCAAGTATTAGCCCCGCCCACCCATCCAAACTTTTCTCATTGTAAGGACTAATTTTATTTCTGTTCACTATGGGATCCACTTTCATTTAGGCCAGATAAAATAATCACTGAAATGAAGGCGGGGTTAATTATCTGTTCCTCTGTAAAATGGGAGTATGGCTGTTAAAGATGAAAAAAAAAAGGGTTAACCGCATTTTTTTTAATACTAGTTACTACAAGATTTATTTCTTACTTCAGAAGAAAAAATCAGGGAACGGGAGGGTGGGCGGGGCTAAGTTTAACTTTATCCTGCTTATTCTTTGATAAGTAAGCAATAACCCCGCCGATCCATCCCCTCTTCATTCTAGTGACTACTCTTAATATTGTTCAGTGTTATCTAAGGAAGGCCTAGCCCCGCCCACCCGCCTTCTATTTTCTTGGAGTATACATCATTTGCCAAAATCAGTTTTAATGTAGCAAGTTCTAAACCCCACCCACCCACCCACGCTTTTTTCATTCTAAGGACTAATTTTATTTCTGTTGACTATGGGATCCACTTTCATTCGGGCCAGATAAAATAATCACTGAAATGGAGGCGGGGTGGGTGGGCGGGCTTAATTATATGTTCTTCTGTAGAATGGGAGTGAGCAGTTAAAGAAAAAAAAACCCTAACCGTATTTTTTTTGTCATACTAGTTACTACAAGAGTTATTTCTTATTTTACAAGAAAAAAATCAAAGAACGGGTGGGTGGGTGGGGCTAACTTTAATTTTTCCCTGCAGAGTCTTTTATAATCAAGCAATAGCCCCGCCCATTCATCGCCTCTTCATTCTAGTAACCATTCTTAATATTGTTCAGTCTTATCTTAGCAAGTCCTAGCCCCGCCCACCCGCCCTCTGTTTTCTTGGAGTGTACATTATTTGCCAAAATCAGTTTTATTATAGCAATTAGTAACCCCGCCTACCCATCCACGATCTTCTCATTCCAAAGACTAATTTTATTTTTATTCAGTATGGGATCGCCTTTTTGAATGAAAAAATGAATCACTGGAATGGAGGCGGAGTGGGTGGGCGGGGTTAACTATATGTTCTTCTGTAGAATACGAGCGGGGCTGTTAAAGAAGCAAAAAAAAGGGCCAAATTTTTTTTTGTTATACCATTTACTACAAAATTCATTTCTTATTTCACGA